AGAGAGAGAGAGAAAAAGAAAGAGAGAGAGAGAAAAAGAAAGAGAGAGAGAGAGAGAGAGAGAGAGAGAAAGAGAAAGAGATCGTCGAGAGAGAAGGGGTCGTATTTCACTGACTTATAATGTGAACAAATATAATGTACGTAGACATACTAGTAACGCTAACAAAACGCTTATATTAGAGATATATGAGATATGAGATACAATGATCTCGACTGATTAGCGTTTTAAACGACGCTTTTATCAGCAAGTTTGTGCACTGGTAAATTTACCCCCACCGAAATGATTATTATGTTTCGTCTCAGCCATGGGGTCTAGGAAAGAAGTTTTCTAGGTGCGGCAGTCAAAAGTAGGGGCGCAATAATTTCCAATGCCTATTAATAGGATTTTGGGTTTTCATAAATATCAAGTGAGAATGCAATATTTGACAACCGAGTCCAACTTATACTAGCTTGTAACGCATCATCATAAAATCTCGGTGCACCACCTGATGAACATAGGCTCGTTGTCCGAAATAAAGTTAAGAGTCTAAAGTCTTAACATTAGTCTTAACATACCCTCTGTACACCGTATATGAGAAACCCACTACTTCGGTGTGTTTCTGTCAACAGTCTATGCGAAAAAGGAAATGTTAGGGCCAATGCTAAGACTAATTTTGTTTCTGACATCGGGCCCTTGTATCAGCACCGTGGCGCCATCTAGTACGCATGGGCGCAATATTTCTGATCTAGATGTAAGAAGATAATATTATATGCTGCTATAAGGTTTCACGCCTGGAAATGCTTTCCCATAGGTGGCCATACTTACGAAAAAATTCCCATAAATCTGCACAAGGCTTTTTTACAAATAATACTGCCATCCTCTGAATACACGTCGCAAGTGACAATATATATATGTTAGTAACAAAAAAATTCTTCCATAATTTCTCTTGTAAACAAAACTTTCCCAGAGCACACGAGAAATAGCCAATTTACAACTTGAATCTGCACAAAAAGTAGGCTTTCTTTGAAAATTTATTGGCCGCGCCAGCAACGCACCTCGGACGAGCCGTTTACACTGTCGGATTCAGAAAAGATTCTAGTTTCTGAAATTAACAATTGCAAACAGTTATAATCCTTTTTAATGAGAAATACAAAATTCTAGCGCATGCAGACACTCAAAAAGGTACTCATTCCTGACCTATCCCTACGCTGATTGGCGAATTTGCCATCGTGGTACCATAAGAAGCAATTGTTAAATACGCGTATATACATATATATTATTTCGCGTAATAATACATGTGGTCGATTGTGTTTTCAACGCATTAACTCGTTCTTCTCATACGCAGATATACGTGAGCCTAGTGATCACACACACACACACACGAAGCAACAAACATCAATAATATATTGCAACACCGCGCACTGTCGCGTGGGTTGAGTGCCTATAAGAATGCCAGGAGTGTAAAATATTGTAAACTGGAATGATGACATAAAG